GTAGACCTCTGCGTTTTAAATTTGAAAAAGAAACGGCAGCAGTTTCTAAATCAGAATTGGATCTCATTAGGGTTGAGATTTCAAACTTGCAAGATACTGAAGTTGATATAAATAATAAAAAAATCAAAATACATCATATTATACAAATTACTATGATTGACGGAAAAGTTCATACTGCTCTTTCAGATGTTACAAATTCATGTCAATACTGTTCTATATGTGGGGCAAGTCCTAAAACAATGAATTTTATTGAAAAAATGGTTTTAAAAAAGGGTATGGCAGTGAGTTATTCATTTGGTTTATCATCCTTACATGCTTGGATACGATTTTTTGAATGTTTATTACATATTGGATATAAGATAACTTTGAAAAAGTGGCAGGCAAGAACAGCAAAAGATAAATCTAAAGTAAAGGCTCTAAAACAACAAATTCAAAATAGATTTAAAGATGAAATAGTTGATGTTCCGAAATCTAGTGGAAGTGGAACATCAAATGATGGAAATACGGCTCGAAGAGCATTTCAAAATGCGGAAAAGTTTGCAGAAATTTTAAATATTGATGTTGAACTGATTTCAAATTTGCATATTATATTGGCAACAATTTCATGTGGTTTAGATATTGACACTGATAAATTTGAGGCTTTCTGTTTAAAAACACCTCGACTTTATGTTCATCATTATCCTTGGTACTATATGCCACAATCTCTCCACAAAATTTTAATTCATGGTTCTGAAATTATTAAAAGTTTAGCATTACTCATTGGTATGTATTCTGAAGAAGCTCAAGAAGCACGTAATAAAGACTTTCAAAACTGTTGTGAACATTTTGCAAGAAAATCATCTCGTGTGAAAACTAATCAAGATTTGTTAAATCAACTTCTGTGTACATCTGATCCACTTATTGCATCTCTGAGAAAGACAGCAGGAAGTCACACAAAAACAAAAAACTTACCAGCAGGAGTTATTGACTTATTGAGGTCATCCTCAGATGATATTAGTTTATAAATGTATCTTTTGTATCTTTATAATTTTGGAAATGTCTGTATCTATATGAAAGTGTGACTGTAAATTAAAACAGTTAGTTGTGCTCAATCCTATTAGAATCATAAGATTAATTTGCATACCAATTTTAGAAATATTTGGCTAAAAATAGCCCTTAGGAACTAAGCATAAATAAGTGTTGCTATGCAAATGGGGTTGCCTTGGCAACCACACCAATAAACAATGCTCATTTAAATTATAATCATCCAATTAATTTATATATTACTTTTTGGGGCCTATGGATGAAAGGAAAAAAAGTTATGACTTTTTTCCAAAAATATGGGATTCTGGCCCACTGTGCTACTTAAAAGGTCATTAAAAATAAAAATAAAAAACTGACATTTTCCGAATCCAGGGTCTAGATTTGCCAACAAATTTTTGAATATATACATGGGCGCTCGCAATGTTTTATTATTATTTTTTTAATTTTAGATGTCTCAAGTCCTTACTGTCTTTTCCTAAGCTTGATGTTTCAAAGACACTTTCACTCATTGTGCAATTTCCAAACTAAAGTAGGTTCATTTCTATGCCGAATGAGGATGCATTGCAGAAAATTGCAATGATGGAGACCTGGAAACAAAAATACCTTTATTGACAAATCTATATTCAAAAATATTGTAAAGTTCAAAAGTTATGACCATGTAAAATTTACAATCCAAATATATTCAGTTACATATACAAAAAAATTTAAATTGAGTTCAGCCATAGGCATAAGAATAATTAATCTTTCTTATAACTATGGTTCAGCTAATCGAAATGGTTTTGAAAAAACATCGAACTTATTTCAACCTTGAACCTTTTAATTTAGACAATAAATGAACAGTTAATACAACATTAATTTTATTAAAATAATATCTGAATCAAGTTCAGATATTAATTTAATAATTATTTTAATTAGATATTATTTTAATATCTGAATCAGATTCAGATATAAAAAATGATTGGTTCTTTAATTAGAGTTTTGTTAATCATTTAAATATAATTATACTTATAAAATAATTGATTCTTTTATTTGACTTGTTTTAAATCATTTAAATGTAGTTATACTTTTAAAATAATTGATTCTTTAATTAGACTTGTGTTAACCATATGAAAGGAAAATAATTAGCCAAAATTATTTACTTCTCTGACTTATGAATCACAAATTAATTCGAAGCGAGTTTGGCAGGTACGGAAAAAAATTTGTGATAAACATAAGACAAACGGTGGTGCCTGGTGCCGGAACATACCAGAAGATCATTCTGTTTTTTTTTTTCTGGAACGCGATCAGTTACTTTATACAAAAATATTAATTTAAAAATATTTTTACATATAAATTAAATTTTCAATATTATAAACTACGTTAGGTTACTTCCTACTACTTTTAAATTTTTCAATTAGTCCAAAAAATTTAATTTTCTCGCTTATTTGCTAATTACATTATAATATATTTATATACAAACAAAGCTGATGCAGTCATTGCCGTAGCTTTCTTAGGTCGGAGGCTCCCTCCGAAACTTAGGTATTACTAAAAAAAAAGATTCTTCAAATTTTTAGAAGGGCTCCTCAATTAACAAATGAGCCCCTTAAATTTAGTGGGCCTCTCCTCCCCCAATCAGGGGTGTGGGGTAGCCTAGCCAAGGCTCTATATACAGCTCTTAATACAGTATTCAATATTAGAACTTTTAGTTCTAATATTGAAAACTGTATACGGCAACTAAATACTATAAATAAATTAATTTTATTGTTTATGAAATATTACTCCATGGTTGAATATAAATTCATTTTTCATAGTATTGTTATTCTAAAATCAGCTCGGCTAATTACAACTAAAATTATACTGATTTCTTTTTTAGTTTGTAAGATACAAAATAAGCAAGAAAAGCTTTAAAAAAAAAATTTCAGAAAAAAACATAAAGCTGTTGATGAAAAGCAAGAAAACTTGAGTTATAATGAGAATCGAGACAACGAAGCGGTTTTATGTTTGGCTTCAACTTCAACATCTATGTCCGTAGAAGCAAAATCCAAAACATTAAACTCGCTTTTTTTATTTGGGATATAAATGTGTGGTCTGAGAAAAAACTTACATATTCTTGGATTAAATGTTCCGCTGGAAAACTATATTTCTGGATTTTATTGAATTATTTGATCCAGAAATACAAAATGAGGATCCTGACTAATCTGATTAAACCGAAAATAACATAAACTCTGTTGGATTGTATTAAAATATATGGATTAACCGATGACTATTTAAAACAGAACTTAATTTTTTTTTACAAGTGATTACTTTTTAAGCTTAGTAATGCAGTCCGCAACTCACATATATCTAGCTTTGACTCATTCATTTTTTTATTAGAATTTGTTAGATAAGAATCAAATGTAAAAGAAGCTGGAGGAATACTTCGTGCTAAATTAGAGCTAACATTAATGAAAAAACTGTTAAATTCTTCAGCTATTAGTGCTTTATCATAAATTGATTCATCGTCAATTAAGGCGAGTTTCCACTCATCCGTTTTTTAACGGGAACGGGATAGGAAAGGAAAAAATAATCACGTGAGCATGCGTAACAAAAGATTTTATTTGTCCGAAAGTAAACTGCGCATGCTCACGTGATAATTTTTCCGTTCCCTTTCCCTTTCCCATAGAAAAACGGATGAGTGGAAACTTACCTTTAAAAGTATTTTTGGCAGAGCGTTATTTTTATATTTGTTTTGTCCAATTATTTCTTTAATTGCATTCCAAGTTTGTTGAGTATTTCTATTTGCTTTTTCTAGCAATTTCAAATAATATAATTTTTTAGAGTATTTTTTGATTTTTTCAAATATATTTTTATAGTTTTTATATTTTGCTTCATTTGAATAGTTTTTTTTTTAAGAAATTTTTGATAAAGTTTTTTTTTTTTTTTGACGATTTTAGTAAACCTTTTGTTATCCAAGGCAATACAAATGATTTTGAGTTTATATAAAACTTTTTTACAGGGAACGCTTTACTGTATTGTTTACAAAACTGCGCTAAAAACAGTTCATAAGCATTGTTAGCATCACGTGATTGGAGAACAAGCTCCCAATTAACGAAGTTAATTAGAAGGTTGTTTGAAATGACAAGTGGTAAGAAATATGAAATATCATTTCCAAACGACGAATCCGGGAATGCAATGTAGACAGTCTAATTGATAGAAACTTTTATTTCGGGCCTAGCAGCCATTTCAACCAAATCTTTTATTTGGAGTGGAATATGGAGTTAATTTTGAAACCGCGATAAACTGCGGTTTTAAACTTTTTTTGGTATAATCAGTTTTTTAATTATTATTCTATAAATCACTCTTTTCTCGATAACTTCTACAATCTCATGGTTCTGCACCTTGTTCTAATACATGTTTTAAGTAAACATATATATAATCATATATAAATCTATATTAAATATAAAGCGAGGGAAAGTGTGGTTAACTGCTAAATATATTTTTTAAATTAAACAACTTTTTTTTTTCTTTTTTTTTCAATAAGTAAATCGTAAAGTAAATCGTAAAATTTTCACAAGTTGAGCTCTTAAAAATACATATTATTTTAAAATTATTACAGTGCAACATTGTAACTAATCTCTCATTAAAGTCATGAGCATAGTTAACACAAATACACTCCATTAAAGCATAGTTAAGAAGATTGGACTCCATTATAACGCTGAAAAACTCTTAAAAAAACTTAAATGAGGCAAGAGCAATAATCAAACTTAAGGCAATTTGTTGATAGCTTATCTTTGAACTTTTAGCTTTTGGTTTGTTTGTTTGAAGGTAGGGGGGTGGAGTTTGAAGGTGGGGGGGGGGGTGGAGGAGGAAAGGAGAGGCTGTTTACTAAACATTATTTTTGAGTATTTAGTTATAATTAAATGCGTCCCTATTTACAAAATCATACGCAACTTCTAAATAAACTCAGCACGCTGACAGTGCAAAAATAAACTGAAATGCAGCTTTTAAGATTTTTTTGCGTAAAAAAGCATATTATTTTTATCACTTAGAGAATGCTCTTCTATAAAATTTGTTTAACAAAATATTTTATTTTGCTTGTGTTAAACATCGTACAAATTAAGAATGAATTTATAACAGATTCTTGGGATAAAGATACTGTAAATTTTGACTTTGACGAGGAAGCTAACCCAGAACCTCATACGGTAAAATCTACAGTTGTTAAAAAAACAAATGAATTTGCAAGATATGAAAAAAAGCCAGATAAACGATATAATGTCTATGACGAGGTAACGACAGTTGCCAATCAGGTAACTCAAATATATATATATATATATATATATATATATATATATATATATATATATATATATATATATATATATATATATATATATATATATATATGTATATATATATATATATATGTGTATATATATATACATATATATATATATATATATATATATATATATATATATATATATATATGCATATATATATGCATATATATATATATATATATATATATATATATATATATATATATATATATATATATATATTGCACACAAAAAAAGAATTTACTCAACACTTTTAAATATTTTAAAGATTGCTTCTCCCTGATTGCAAAAATCTTTTTTATGATCAGCTTGTATTTTATCAATACTATTGAGTCAAAAGTATTGACAAAATAGGTCTACAACTTAGTCGCAAAGTAAAATTTTACGTGGGGAGTAAAATTCTCATGATGGTAAAAATTTAATACAAGATTTTTACGAGTGAATAAATATATAATATAAAATATTTTGCGAGGAGTTATAATTTATAATTGAATATTAAACTTATATTGGTTATAAAAAAATCTCGATAGAATATTATTTGGCTTGATTAAAGTGCGCTTTTATTGAAAAAAAAAATTATTTAAACAAAAAAAGTTTAATTTTCGCAAAAGTTTTTAATATTGAAAAAATTGAATTCAAGAATCGAAAATAATTAATTTTTTTAATTCTTAATGAATATTAAAGGTTGTTGTATTTTTCCACTATTTTTACAATATCTAATGATTAAAGTTAAGAATTAAACGCTATGGTCGTAAAATGAAAGTTTTAGCATGAATGGACGACAAAATATCAAATTTTAATCATAAACTGACAATTTAATTATTTATTAAAAACATTTTTTTGAAATGATTTTTTCGAAATGATTTTATGCCTAAAGCATAGAAATGAAATTTCCAATTTTTAACATTCGTTTTAAATTTGAAACTACAAATTTACTCGATAGTTTTTTAAGGTTTTATTTAATTTTATTCAATTTTATTCGCATTTATTCGATAAACAACCACTCCGACAATATTATTATTTGATTAAATAATCAAAATTTAGCAATAAATCATATAAAACGCAACTTTGATGCCAAATTTTTTATATTTGCTCTTAATTACTATTTAAATTGATACTTAACTTAATAACAAGCATGAAATTTTTTTTTCTTATTTACTCCGTGCAGGAGGCAAAACTTTTGTATTCAATTTGGAGGCCGCAGCCAAAAGCCACTGGAGACGGCATCCAAAATATTTTGCCTCTAAGAAAAAAACTCTGTCTGACTGTATCAATAAAAAAGGTGGAAGCTAGAATATTTTTCCGCTAAAATAGTATTGGGAGGCAGCCGCCAACGGCTGCGGAAGAAAAATGGAGGCAAGAGCCGTTCATCAACACAGCATTAAAGAGTATTTTTTATCCTCTTTTAGAATCTTTTGCTTTATTTATAAAAGATATTTTTCAGACAGTATTTTTTATCCTCTTTTAGAATCTGGTTTTAAAAAAATATTTGGAATTCAACTTTTTGAATAGTATTAATTTCAGTAAAATGACTTTTGTGGAGCACATGGAACAACAAGCTATTTATATTATTGAGTATATTAAGCTATTTATATTATTGAGTATACATTCGGAAATGCTGTTTACAGATTAATGATTTTGTTTTTAATCTAAAATATTCTTATTTAGAAAAGCAATTTTAGTGATAAATTCAAAAAAAAATTTATTTTTATAATTTAACTTTGATTATTAATAGTGTTTAATGTAAACAAAGAAGGTAAGCAATGATTTAAGATAGATCAATCATCCAAAATGGGATGAAATGCAGTTTTAGCTGCGAGTGTAAAGGAACTCAAAATTAGAAAAGCTGCTGATACATATGGCATAATTAAGTTTTCTCTAAATTGGCATATTGCTAATAAGCCACCTCATCAAAAATGTTGCCAAATAGTTTCAGGATATTTTTTGTGTGATTTATGTGATCCATAAAATGTTTTGTTTAATTTCAAATTTAGTCGTAGTAACCAATTTAATAATACATAGGTTAGAGTAGAGTGGAGGTATTTTGTAATAAAACACAAAAAATAAATTATTTTAATTTAGCTGTTATTTCTTTTTTGTTGTATATAGGTGTATGGGCGTGTAGTTTTTATGAATATGTTACTTTTGTGAGAGTTTAATGTCTGAACATTTTTAGACAATAGATAGCCTAAAAATATAGAACAAAAAATTAAAAATAAAAGAGTTTTTTATTAACAAAAATCGTAATATATATATATATATATATATATATATATATATATATATATATATATATATATATATATATATATAGTATATATATATATATATATATATATATATATATATATATATATATATATATATATATATATATATATATATATATATATATATATATATATATAAATATACAACCATGAACAACCGGGGGAAGGGGGTAGCAGCTAAGACATTAGCCCTTCCCTGCCCCCCCCCCCCCCATAATATTTCAAATAACTAATTTTGAATTTTGAAAAAATGAATTACAAAAAAAAAAAAATCGAAACTATTTCGGGGCCCCTTAATCCAGCACTACCCCCCAATATAATTTTTTGTTCCTTCGAGCCTGTTAAATATGAAATTTGCTTTGAATTATATTGGACAATGTAGTTAAATGAAAATTTTGTAAAACGAAAGAATAAAAAAAGTAGTTTACGTATATTTTAAGTTGAGTGAGTCAATTTTGTTCCAAAAGAGAGAGAGAGAGAGAGAGAGAGAGAGAGAGAGAGATGTAGATATAAAAAAAGAAAAAGTGTATGAGAGAGGGAAAGATAAATAATGCGATAGACATTTTAACTTATAATTATGTAAATTATTTAAAGGATCTAGCAGGTGCTGAAGGTCCTCCAAACCTGGTTAAGAAACACTACCAGACAAAACTGCGTTTGGCCAAAAGAAACACTTTTGACAATCGTGATGAGCGTTACACTGCAAGGGAACACTATCTTCACCGTTATAAGAAGTTTACAGTTACGTCCGCAGGAGCATCTGAGCAAGGTTATACCATTAATAAAATTTTAAGAGTATTAAGTTTTTTACATCTTTATTTATTTTATTTTTTTTTTTCGTTTTTTCAACTTCAAAACAAAATTTTTTTAGTAACTGATGACGGAAATCAACTGAAAAAAGATATAATACAACCTGTAGTTAAACCGAAAAAGAATAAAAACAAAATATCTAAAGGTGTAAAGAAACAAACAAAACCTTATGCAAAACAATCACCAGGATACGGAGGATTGCCCCCTAAGTCTACAACTACAACACGTGCTCCAAAAATAGCGTGGGTGCCATAACAAGATGAAATAGTTTTAAACAATTTTAGAGATGTAATTGGAAATCAGTATATTTAATAAAAAAACTTATATTATATATAAATATAATTATTGTTTTCATTTAATTAATGCAATTATTTAATTAAATAAAAAAGTATGATTTTTCTATACTTAAATTGAATAATTTAAATTTAAGGTGGAAGACTACTAAAAAAATTATTTTTCTATCTTTTAGAAATCTTTATTAAATGTTTTTATAGAGTTTTAAATTATTTAAAAGTCATTAAAAAATTTCTAAACTATTTCTAAACAACTTCTTAATTTGGTCTCTATATTTCAATTAATTTTAGTAAACAGTAAAAAGTTAATCAATCTAAAGTTCTTGGCTTTTGGTTAACTATTAATTTACTTTACTATTAAACTGTACTTATTTACTTCAATATTTTTTACATGATAAAAATATAATTGAAGACAGTAAGGCCTACTTAAATTACACGGCCTGATTTGCTGCATTTTCCATAAAAGTAAGAAAAAAAATGAGGCGAGTTTTTTTTACGGCTTATGTTTAAAATCGTGAGCGTTTGCACTATAAATTTTTTATTCTTATTTTATTAAAATAGTTAAATAGTAGTTAAATTTTCTTTGACTTACATTTCTTTATGTTGGATTTTTCGTAAAAATTAAGAGGCTTGTTTTTTTACGACTTATGTAGGGTAAGTTGGCGAATTTCGGGCGGCATCGAACTTCGTGCAAACAGCCTTTCGGATCAAAAAAATCACACTGACGCTAATTTAATCGAAGCTTTTCTCACCTAACTTTTACACTTAACTGTACAAAAATGAAGTACGACATTTCTTTGAAAAAAGTACTAATCTTTAACCCAAGTTTAACGGATATGTTTGGAAAGGTAAAAAAAATAATAATAATAAACAAATACTTTTTTGATGTAAAAATTTCTGCTTGAATTATCGAAAGCATCATATTTCGCGCATTATGCCCGAAATTTAATTTACACAGTATTAAATTTCGTGCATTATTTTATTTTTACTTAAAAACGATTTTAAATGCTTTTATGGTTTTAACTATCTTTAAAAGCATTTTTAAGGTTGCTAGTGACGTTTTTAAGACAAAACAAAAAAATTAAAGCAACAGCTGCGAAATTATCCGCATGGCTGAATTTCTTTTAACTAAGCAATATTTGAATTCAAATTTCAACTTTTTAAAAATATGGTATCATCATAGTAGAATATACAAGTTACAATTTTTTAATCAAGTTTGTTATCGTGACCACAGACTCCAAGAGAAGACAGAAGCAGCAAAAATATAACGAGGAAGCTGTTAAGGCCGCTGTTGCTGATGTTCGAGACAACAATTTTTCATGAAGAAAGACAAGTTTAAAATGTAATGTACCTTCTTAGATAATAATAATAGAAGGCTGAAAACAGTTGCTTTAAAGGGTATAAAGAATTTTTATCGCATAGCCTCTGACACAAAAACGCAAAATCCATCTGACTATGTTCTTGGGCGATCCATTAACGGATCTTATAGTTCTTCTAATTCCTTGACAGAAATGTTTACTTTCTTGAGGTGCTTAAAAAAAATGGAATTGTTATTCCCGGAGAAAGTCCTGGTAACGTTTCGAAGACGATTAGA